TTCTCAACAAAAGAGCAAACATAACGGGAATGCAGCTGGTGGAGGCACTTTTCATCATTATAGCCTTCTACGCTTTTCTGGATGCTTGAATCCATTTTCAGTAAACTAAAGGAAATATTACAAATTCCATCAGTCATCTGAGACTAAGGCATCAGAAACCAATTTTGCTAGAACTGGACTGGACATGCTCTAATCAGGGTGCAGCTGACCACTGTCCTGGAGACTCTGGCGCAGGCCTGGAGGCTTCAGGCTATGCCACAGTGGGGATGGTGCAGAGGTACAGGCCAGGAGTCTTGCGCATGCCAGGTGATGCCAGGGTGGGCTTGAGAGAGACATATGACCAAGGCCTCCCTGAGGTCTCCAGGTCTGAAGGGAGCCTGACTAGGATGTGCACACAGCCAGCAGAGATGCCCACCACCTGTGCTTCGAGGGCAACCAGGGAGTGAACAGGGCTGAAGGACCAGCTCTGTGGCCGGGAGCTGTCCGCGATGACCCGGATCTTTAGCACCGAGCTTGCCTTTGCCTGGAGACGCAGCGGCTTTTCTTTTGCTGGCTGAACAGCCAGGCGAGTTCTGGGAACGGTCTAAAGAGAAACATTTAGGTTGGAGGCTCTTTGAGCTGCTGACAGCTGACTGATGACCGTCCCTAAAGCCACAAAGCGGGGCTGAGGGCATCGAGCATCACATCGCTTCTCCCTGGGAAACTAATTGCTCTGAATTGTTCAGAGAAACATTATTTTTCTGGCAATCATTTCCTTTGAATGCCCAAAATGAGCATGAAACAACTCTTTTGACTGGACATAAAAGTTAAATGTCCCAATGTTGATCAAATTAACTTCAGTGCTGTGACAATGGACTGTATTTGTGAGAAAATAATGGGGGGGACAAAGGGGCGCTTTATGCCAAGATTTCACAGTTGTAATGTAAAAATGTTTCTGTTGAACTAGGCCAGGCCACATTTCAAAGAGGAGACAGAAGAGCCCTGTCACTTATGGAAAAAATCTCATTTCACAGGCTGAAAGCTCAGGAAGATTTCAGGACGTTTCAGTGGCTGGTGCCGAGGAGGGCCAGTGCAGAGCTCTGGTTTAATCCCCCCAGAGGTCCCCAAAAGGTTGACCTGCATGTCTAGGAGAGGGGCCGGGTCTGCCCCCAACAGGGGCCAAGAGCTCAGTGCCTCCAGGAGCCACACGAGAGTGTAAACGGTCTGGCTTCATCCAGGGTAAGAGGGGCTCTGCCTCTGCCTGCCCAGGACCTGGCACAGATGCCTCCAATACCATGCCCAAACCCTCCAAAACCTGCCAAGAAGTCCCTGAGCTGGGTACTCTTCATTAACTAGGGATCTGTCTTCCCTTTCAACTTTTCATAACAAGAGATGCATAGTAAAAAATTCATAAATTGCACAAAAATCTAAAGATTATTATTTGTGATAAGTTCAGATGAACTATGTGACAGTCCGTGGTGCCAGGTACCACTGGGGCCGCTAGGTGCTTACTTGCCTCTAAAGAGTTTAACTCAGACACAGTCTATCTCTCAGTTCTTCTTAAATAATCTTTTATTGTAGAATACTTTTATATTTAAAGGAAAGGTGCAGATATAGTACTAGGTGCCTTTCAGTCTTGACATGGGTCTTCCTCTAGTTCTAGGAGACCCACCCTCCCTTCTGGGTCTGATACTCTACTCTCCTGCAGCCCAGATGGAAACTGGACCTGGGAAGCTTTGCAGAGAGATTAAACCACGGAAAGGTTGGGTCCCCCTCAGAAGCCTTCTTGCTGTCTCCCTGCGGCGTAGACAATACACACGGAGGTTCCCAACGGCGTGAATGGGGCCCTGTTGGTGGCAGCGTCCATTCAAAGGCCACACGGCATTGTCCTCCCTGATCAGCACAGCAGAATGCGGTCTGCTGGTGGCTGCCAAAAGGTTAGCAGCCCCGATGAAAGGGCGGCCCATTATTCACCGCTCCTACAGAGCTCCCCTTTGTGCCAGGCGGCCTGGCCCTGCGCGGCGGAGGTCCGGATCTGCGGCTGGCTGAGCTCGCCACAGAAGCCATTCATGGGAACGCAGAGATGCAGAAAAGTGGCCCAAAAACCCAAAGCCTGCTTTCTTGGAGGCCAAGGAGGCACGGCACTTTGGAGCAAGGATACATTTTAATGCCATACCATACAGACAACCTAGCTGCTGTCACCAAGACCAAATGGCATGGTGGAGCGAGCCGGCCTGGGAGGTCCCCGAGAAACCCGGTACCTGGAAGCAAAAGGCCAATCAGGCGGGAAGAACCATACCCGATTATCTTTTCTCTGGGTGGAAGAATCACTGTCCTAAGAGGGTGCCCAGGGCACAGGTAGGTCCCACGTCACAGGCAGTTGTTCCTCTGTCACTGACAAAATATCAAAGACCCATTGCCCATGCTGCGTCCCCACAGCAGATGGTTGAGAGCTCAGGCTTCAGGCTCGGGTGCGACCCTGCACGCGAATATCAGTCCTGCTCTCTTGGTGCCTAGGAGACCAGTGAGGCCCCCTGAAGAGGGTGTGGCCGTGTATGGGGATGAGCTCAGAGCCCTCGGTGCAAGGCAACAAATGCAGAAGCATCCAGAACATGTGTCCCAATTCCGGTTCCTCTGTAAGGACCCGGCAGATGGCAGCAAGCACCAGGGCACTCTCTCACTTGGGGGATGGTGGCCAGGAAAAGGGACCCGCCTCAGGGCCCTGGGCTGACCCCTCTTCTCCCAGGTGGGGAAGCTGGGCCCTTGGAGGTGAACCAAAGGCCACATGCCCAACTAACGACAGTGGAGGAAGGAGAACCCACCTCCCAACTGTCTGTGCGGAGCCCTGTGAGGAATTCCAGAGGAACAGAAGCAGCAGGCGAGAAGTCATGTAAGTGAGCCAAGCCAAGCTCACTACATATGTGCAGAGGGAGAGGTACTCGAGAAAAGGCCAAGCTCACTACAGACGTTGGCAGAGGGAGAAGTACTTGAGAAAAGAGGGGTCTGGCTGGCTCCAGCTCCCTCCTAGAGTGGCACCAACAGTCAGGAGAACCCAGCCTTCCGCCTCTTCCTCAGGACCCAGCGCTGAGCTAGGACATGCACACACACAAACATACCCACGCATGCTCACATAAACACACACAAATGCATGTACACACTCACACACATGCATAGACACATGTACAAACTTGCATGCATGCACTCAAACCAAACATGCACAAAATGCATGCACTTTTACACACGAACAACCCCACACACACATACAAAAACAGAAATGTGCTCACTCACATAAATGCAAACATGCACGTATGCTCACATGCACAATGCACTCACACGCAATGCACACCCTTTCTTACAAGGCTCTGTGGGGAGACAAGCCCTCTATCCAGCATGCAGGGACCTCCTCGGGCAGCTGTTCCCTTTCATGACCCTAAGCGACTCGGGATCCCTCAGGACACCCTTTCAGGTCACAGGTCTGAGGGCAGAAATATGCCCATGCAATCCCCAGGGGTCACCTCCCGTGAGACTCTCCCACTCTGCCCTTGAGAATCTGATGGCACTAGACATGCACGGTGTATACCTCAGGGGTGATGGCCCAACAATGGTGTCCCTCCATGTGGACTATCCCACCCCTCATCTCCTCAAGGAAGCCCCGCGGCAGCTCAGAGATCAGCAGGCTCTGCCTGGATTCCTCCCTCTCTGGGTTGTGCCCTTGGTGCACCTGATCACTGCCTCTGCCCACACAGCCATGGGCAGCAGAATAACCACCCCAGGGTCAGCAGTGGCCCCAAAGAGCTTCATCCTTCTGCCTGGCAAAGCCTAGGGAGAGGGCGGGCATAGGTGAGAGGGAGGTGGCCCCTGGAGTAGAGAAGTCAAGGTCTGATGAGAAGGCCAGAGGCTGGCCGACAAAAGGTGAGCTGAGGAGCAGCACAGCACAAGGTCTGCATGTGCTCACTTGTGCACTTGGCATTGCTCGTGCATGGGGCAGAGCCTGGGGTGGGGCCTTCTAGGAAACAGTATGCAGCTCAGGTGGAAACCAAAGGCCACTCTGAGAAGAACTGCTAGTCTTGGGCCTGTGGGAGGAGCTGCTACTAGCCCAAGTTGGTCGTTCAGCCACGGGGATGCTGGGAAGAGAGGACTTCAGTTGGAGGAGAATGGAATGAGCAAAGTGTAATCACCAACTACTTGGCTGCCCTGGCAGAGCTTCAGCACAAGGATCGTCTGAGGATCAGGAGAGACACTGGTCCTAAGACCAGGTATTTCCCACTAATAGGTGTGCCCATCTTTTCTATATGACAGCCCACCAGTTCTGATCCCATGAGGGGGTCACAGGAGATGTCACAGACAGAGGAGCTGCCTGGAGCATAGGGTAGGAGCAGAAGCCAGGGTGCCTGGGAGCCCAGGTAAATGTGGGAGCAGCCAGGTACCCTGGCAATGGCTAAGGCCGTCCGCCCCCTCTCCAGGGCCCACAGACCCAGGCTCAGGAAGCAAGGCCTGCGTGTCCTGTCAGTGGCAGGGGCAGAGTTGGGAAGGAGGTGGTATTGTGCCAAGCTGGGCTGGGTTGACCAGCGGGGCCTCACAGGACTGACCCCACATAGCCAGGAGCTGCACCAAGATGCCCAAACTCTGAGCCCAGCAGCTCCAGAAGTCATCTGGCAGGGCCAGAGTGCAGAAAAGCACAGCCACAGTCAGCAGAAATCCCAGCATATCTGCTTAAGTCACAGCTGAATCTAACAGTCATGATTCCCAGACACTTCAGTGTCATATTCAAGGTCTACCACCGTGCCCCACAGCACTGTTTTCTTAACTTTCCCACAAAATATCAGAGAGAAGGGGAGGCCATCCCCATCCGAGTTCATGGGGAAAACTGCTCAAACAGCCTGTTGTGGGCAGGATGTGAAGGTTCTGCTGCCTCCGGGGGACAACATGTGCAAGTGCCACTGCAAGGCTGAAAGAACCGAGCAGGAACAAGGCCTGGTCCTCTCAGAAGCAGCTGGCGGGGGAGGTCAGGCTGCACCTACCTGTCCAACACGTAGCCCAGGGCCTTGTGCCGGATGCCTGAGTACACTGAAGGGCTTGTTTCCCAGGCGACTAAATTGGAAGCATCGTGGAAAAGATGGATGTTCACCAAGTCAAAAGCACTGCAACCAAAAGACAAAAGGACAAGGTCGCCAAGGGTGGAAGTCTCCGGGTCCCCTGACCACAGACCGCTCTCCCGAGAAACCCCAGTACCTGTCTACCCGCCTGTCCACCGACGAGGCCAGAGGACTCGAGACCTTCGGTGAAGTCTTAATAAATCTTAGCAAATGCAGTGGCTCTGGCCAGTGAAAAGGGAGCTATTTTTCCTTCCACAGGATCACAGAAATGTTGCTTAGTTGTTGGCTAAACTAAGAGGAAGGGACCTACTTACAGCCTCAGCTCCTCTGGCTGACGATGCCTGTGTCTGCCAGCTGCACCCTGGTGAGGGCATCAGAACACAGCACAGGGGACACAAAGACAGCCAGCAGACTGCTTTATTCAATACCCCAAAGGAAGACCCTCAGGAGTGACCTGGTAAGCCCACCAGTTGGTCTCCATGGCCTCCATGCATGTGGACTTGGGGAGGCTGGGTTCATCCTGGGTCAGCACCTGCAGCTGACAGGGACGCGTCCACCTGACAAGGGGAGGTCACTGAGGCTCAGCACTGTCCTGACACCATCCTGCACACCCTCACTGCTGGCAAGTCCTCCAGGGGCTCCCAGGCCCACCAAGGCAGGACACTCATGCTCAGCCTCAGCTCCCTTCTCTTCAGCAGGAATCACAAGGCATGGGGGCTGCTCGGGCTGGCCCCTACTCCCCAGCCTCTGCTCGCCCGCCTCCATGACAACCCTGCCGCCTGGCGTCCATGCCCTGTGTGCCCCCCACGCCGTGTGAGGGTGGCCCCAGTGCACAAGGGTGGAGAGCAGCAGTGGGGCCGGCTGCTGCCTGAGCTGGCCCAGGACTGTGGCTCCTTCTCAGGCTCCCTCTGTCCTTCCCCCCGCCTCCCTCTCCTTCCTTCCCTCTGTCCCTTCCTCCTTCCTCTCTAGCTGTCTGAGATCCCTGCTACTCTAGGGGTCTCCCTGTCCGGAGCGGCCCCAGAGAGAGGTCCGAGTGGGGAAAAGTGGAGGCTCCCCTCCACATCCCCCAAGCGAACCTGGAGGTGGGTCCTCTGGGTTTAGGAAGCCTCAGAGGGACAGCAGCCTCATGGCGACCTGGGCCAGAACCCCAGTCGAGCCATTCCCAAGCCCTGAGCCACAGAAACTGTGATCTAATCAGTATTTGTTTTTTTAAAGCTGCTAAGTTTAGGGCAACCTGCTATACAGCAACAGACAACTACTACAACAAAGCTTGAGAAAATCTGTGGGAGGAAAATAAAGACATGGCAAGCAAGATTCGGCCACTTAAGGAACAGGCAGAGGAGTCACTCAGAAGCCAGGCAGTGCACTTTTGACCACTGCTTGTCACACAGGAAAGGCGGGCATTGCCACTGAAAACACACTCACCACAGGAAAGCCAGGCCCCAGGACAACCGAATGAGACACGTGTCTTGTTGTATCTGTGCCCAAACTCCCAATAAAACAGGTTTCCAGGCCATTTTTATGCTATTTAACTTTGTAGCCTGGGACCCATGAAGAGCCTCCCTGCTGGCTTCCTCCCACAGTGGGCTCTGGTAAATGGAACCCTCCCGCTGAGGGGAGGGGCCAGGGTCTTCAACTGTGTTTCTCCATTTGTGCTGAGCGCTGCACGTTTAACTTACAGGGAATGGGCAACAGCACACCACATCGTATGGCACCATGTAAACAAAAAAGGTCAAAGAGTGACAGGTGGGGGTCAGGCAGCTAGAGGTCCCCAGGCAAAATCAGTAAGCCTTCAGTGAGACGTGCAACAATCACGTGTGCAAAACACAAAAAGCTAAGAAATATACTGGAAATTTATGAAGCAGAGATAAACAGGCACAATACAACGTACCAGTCAGCAATGCACCATCTCGTCCGGATGAAACCTTTTCGCGACCATTTGCACTGAAAAATAAAAGGTTCCACAAATAAGCCAACGTCAAAGCGGAAGGGCAACACATGATTCATACACACTAAGGAAATACACACAAGGCTTGTTCAAACAAAAACATGGTTCGTCTTTCAGTATTGGAGAGACCCGAAATGTGCACCTCTGAAGGGGCAGCTTTATACACAGAATGTCGCAAAGGTTATTCACGCTCAGCGTCAGGGGGACACAGAGACGGACTGCGACCCACTGTCCTCGGAGCCCCATTCCTCTGGCTTGGAAAAGCTGCAGGGAAGCCCTTGTCACTTCAGGAGCTCTCGAGCACTGCTGCCTACGGCCAGCCGAGCTTCGGATGGAGTGAGGATGCTCGTCAGTGAACCACAGAGAAGACGTGGGCAGCCACGCCCAGCAGAGTGTCCTCAAGGGCTGGTGATCTGTCCGACCATAACAAGTATGCGTGGCCTGATGCTATAGCCCTTTCCTGGCGAGTCCACCCACCCAGCAGCACCAGAGCCTGGGGACTGTGCACACGTCTACCAGTTTGAACACAGAGCCTGTGTCATGGTCCAAATACGCCTCCAAATTCCCATGTTGAAACTTATCATCAACAGATATTGCTAAGAGATGAGGCCTTCAAGAGGTGACAAGCCATGAGGGCCCCTCCCTAGTAAACAGAATGAAGGTTATTACAAAGAAGGCTTCGTCAGCACGCAGCCCCCTTGCCCTTCTGCCTCCCACCATGTGAGGATGCAGCAACAGGCATCATCTGATAAGTAGAGAGACAGAGCCTCGCCAAATCTGCTGGTGCCCTGACCTTGGAATTCCCAGACTCCAGAGCCATGAGAAATGAATTCCTATTGTTTATAAATTACCCAGGCAGCTTATTTCACCCAGGCCAACTGTGGCATGTCTCCCTTGCTCCCTACTTTCTCTAATATACTTTGTTCTAAAACTCAAAACAAAAAATTACCCAGCCTGCTTTGTTATGGGCAGTACAAATGGACAAAGACAGCGTACTAACAAAGAAAGAAGTCAGACGACAGAAAGCCAGTATTTGCTTTAGCTATGTTTTCTCTAGAATTCGACAGAAGGGTCACTCACTCCCCCCACTGTCCTCTAGATGGTTCCTGAAGTGAGGAAGAAATAGTTGCTAGAGGACTAGAGGACCAGAGGAGAAGAGAGAAGGGGACACAGACCAGAAAGAGCTTTGTCCACAGCTACGGCCGGAGAGTGGGGACCGAATCCAACTTCTGCTCAAGCCCATACCGGGCAGGCAAGGTGCAAGGAGCAGCTGACTGTGCTGCAGGAGTCTCAGGATGCCAGAAGGCTCCTGCTAGGCTGCCCAGGACAGCAGCAACCAGCCACTGGGGCTATCAAGCACATGGAATATGTGGCTAAAGAACTAAATTTTATTTATTTATTTATTTATTTATTTGAGTTGGAGTCTCATTCTGTTGCCCAGACTGGAGTGCAGTGGCTGCTCTCAGTCACCGCAGCCTCGACCTGCTGGGCTCTAGCGATCCTTCCGCCTCAGCCTTCTGAGTAGCCGGAATTACAGGCGCGCACTATCACGCCTGGCTAATTTTTTGATTTACTGTAAAGATGAGGTCTCGCCTGCCCAGGAGGGTCTCGAACCCGCGGGCTCAGGCAATCCACTCACCTCAGCCTCCCAAAGGTGGGGGATTACAGGCTGAGCCACCGAGCCTGACTAGGGACTAAATTTTAAATTGTGCTTTACCTTAATTTATTTGAACTTAAATAGCCATATGGAACAGGATATCTAAGCAGCTTTGGGAACGCTTGAAAACCAAGGGAGGCACTGGGAGGAATCTGCCTGACTTCCCAGTTCACAAATGCCATGTGAGTGAAACACTTCAGGACAGGGGGAATGTTAGTACTACAAGGATGGGGCATTGCTTGGGCAGTTCCCAGCAGAAGGCCAGTGCCTGGCTCTGGGCACTGGGGACATATAATGGACAGAGGATGGGGTTGAGCCTCTTGGTGCTCAAGGTGCCTTGTGGACTGACAGAGTAGGATGGAAAGAATCCTGTCTCCTTTATTGTGCCCTGGGGTCTGCATAGCCACAAGAGAATTCAGAATTAAATCTGGGTGAAATATGCTCCCTGCATGAAAGAAGGAATCTGAGAAACAGGCTCCAGGCACTTCGGGGGTTGGCACCTCCCTTCTTAATTTAATCCGAATAGTTCAGAGGTTAAGAAGAAATTCTCCCCTTGACCTCATATCTCCTGTTGGCTTCCGTGCCCCCTGCCAATTTCCCCCAATAACTATACTGTTTTGAACAAGAGTTATCCAAACACATGACTCCCACTCAATTCTCAATAGCAATTTGTTCCTAATTCCACCACTCTGCCCAAAATGATCCCTGCAAAGTTACCACGACCTCCATCAGCAAAATCCCAGGGACGCTTATCCTTCATGCGGCTCATCTCTCAGTGGCACCCAGGACTGCCCACAGTTCCTGAAGTCTCGATCTTCTTGTTCTCTGACTCCTTCCTCAAATGGCTCTAGTGGTTTAGACTCCCAAGAACTAAGTAAGACTCCTGTGCCTGCTCCCCTTCCTTAAGTGCTCTCCTCCTCCAAGAACAAAAACACAACTGCTGGCATGCTGATACTTCAAGGTCCAGCCAGCAGCCGTTCCCGTGCTCTTCGGAATTCCTCTCCAGTGCTTTGCCATCTACTACTGCTGATAAGAAACATTCTAACAGATCTCATTGCTAATCCTTTTCTCTTTGTCATCAGTGTACTGAAGCTTAATTACCATTTTGGTATGGACTTATTTTTATCTATCCACTAGTGAAGCTGTTACTACCCGACAGATAAAACTACAAACTGAATTCTCAACCTGAAAACTCAGCGTCCCCAATTTTGGAAGAATCGCCCCTCTGATCTTTTCCAGATTGCTCCCTGTTATTTCTTTCTGAAATTTCTTCTGGGTGAATATTTGAGGCTCTCAATAGTAGACTTCATGTCTTTTGGCTGTTATTTTCTATAAAAATAAAAACACATAAAAACAACAAACAAAAATCTTTGTCTCTCTAAGTTATGTTTTTGACAGTCCTTTATAACACCTTCTGAATCTCTCTTTGACGACATCTGGTCTATAATCTATTCTGCTACTTTTAATGACAATGCTTCTGTAGGCTCTTTTTCATGTTTCCTTGTTCTTTTATTTCTTACTGTCTTAGTTGAATGACATTATTTTTAATGAACTCTACCCTTTCATTTATCTCTTCGACATACTTAGTCTAAAGTCTCTGCCAGATGGTTCTCCAAAATTAATTTTATTTGGAGTGGATCCAGATGCCTGCATCTGTGCATCTTGCAGACTGTCTTAGTTTGCAGTCTCCTGCTGAGTGAGAGGCCCCACCTTCTCTACTACGTGGGTCTATGGATGCCCCAACCCAGACCCAAAGCAGATGCCACCATGAGTCTGGGGGTCTCTGCTTCCTGGTAATATTGAGGTGCCCACAGATGCACCCATGGGGCCTAGAGGTGATTCTGGTCCTTTCTTTCCAGGGCTGGTCTCTCCCCTCACCTCTAAGTTCCAGGCTCTAATTGAGCATATTTTTAAAGAAAATAGTAGACTTTATTTTTCGGTGCAGTTTCAGGTTTACAGAAAAATTGAGCAGAAGGCACAGAGAGTTCCTGTATCTCCTCCCAGCCCAGATACATATGGTTGAGCACGTAGCTGCAGCTCTGCTTGTCAAGTGGGCCTTGCCTCACACCTCGAGTTGGCCCTGGTTCTGACCTCGCATCCCTGCCGTCCTCAGGCTCCTCGTCAGCTGAATAACGGGGCAACGCAAAATCTCCTCGGTCCTGCTGAAGGTGTCACTAGACGAGTGATCGGACTGCTGCCCAGACAATCTGGGAACCGTACAGAAGGATGGTGGGCTCACCTGTCTGCTGCATTACACATTCACCTCTGATTCCAAATGTGACTGCCAGCCCCCACAGGTGACTCTCTAGGGAGGCCACTTGCCCCTAGGAAATGTCTGCATTCACTTCAGTCAGTAACTGTGTCTGTGATGGAAACACACAAGTAGGAAGCTGAGCTGTGAGGACCTGGGTGCTGGTGAGGCCCCAGAGCTGGGGCTCCATGCTCCTGCAGGGACAGCCCAGCTGAATTGGATACCCTCCAATGCTTAGAATTTCATCCCTCTTTGCATACCCCCACTCCAGACAAGTGGCCCGCCACCTGTCTAGACACTCTTCTTCCTGTACATGTCCAAATCCAGCTCGAGCTGGGAGTCTGCCCACCTGCAGACAGCCACTGCAACACTTCACCACAGACTGTCCATGCGTGGGATCCACACAAGCAGAGTCAAGCGGCGTCCAGGCATCTCTGGGCAGTGGGCAAGACAGAATTGCCTGGGGCCTTGGGGACGACAAGGGGAGGATGGAGAAGCAGGCTACAGGGTCACCATGAGGAGGGTCCAGTTCTACACACCAGCAGCACATGACACACACGTGCACATTCAGCCTTAGGGGTGGGAGTGTGGGCCACCATTGCCCTACTTCACTGAGTAAGGACCTGAGGCTCAGAAGTTAAGAACTACACATATGGTCACTTGGTGAATTTGGGTCACTGGGCCCCAGAGCCTGTGCTCTTATCCTGTGGGGGCCACATGGGAGTAGGCCAGATGTGTGACTGGTGATGAATCCACAGTAACCACAGTAACCTGGTAAAGGCTCTCTACAGAGCAGGAGGCGGGGCTGAGGAACCTCCTTACTCCCTGGTCAGGGAGCCCTTGGTCTTGCCTGTGGAGCCGACTGCTTATCTCCCGTCCATGCAACGTCTTTGGCCCAGCGGTGACTGGGCACCCTGATGTACTTCAGGGACTAGAAGCCTTAGCCGCATGACCCGACATCCTGTGGAGGGCAAGCCTCGGAACTGGTGCAGAATGAAGTCACGCGTGTGACCACAGTTGCAGGGGTGTTCCGGAAACCACCCCCACCAACAACCCCTGATTCATGGAGTGAGAAACCTGCAGTCAAC